AAAATAAAAATTTAAGTTCCTAGGTTTCGCGTTTACTGGTGATGGATAATTTTAGGAAGAGATCGGCCGGCGGATTGGAGCAGCCAGTAGCGTTCTGCGTAAATTATTCCGATCCACTGTGACTAAGGAAGAGCTGAGTTTAAAAACGAAGCCTCTCGGTATTCAAGTCGATCCTTAATTTCATGCTTACTTACGGTTATCCTTCGTAGACCATGAGTGAAGAACTTCCATCACGTGTGAAAGCGGTTGAAATGGGCTTCTAGAGACGGATCAGAAGGCCTAAGCCACTCGACAAGGTCTGGAATACAGAGATCTGTGAGAATCTCATTTGCTGTGCATTTGTTGCTTAGTCAGATTGAGAATTCATCTCTGCGACGGTTTTGGCATGTGACGCGAATGCCTCAGAAAGGAGGGCTAAGCATTTAATTCTTGCCCAACGGACCGGTAGAAGTCGTAGAAAATATTGTAAGTACTGGCCGACGCATCTGTCTCTGCGACCTGAAACGGGAAGCGGTTATGAATGATAGAAGTGACATGGTATATTCGTTATAATGCAATAAACGTATATGTACCTGTCCTTCGAACTCAAAATACCCACAGTTCAGTGCGAACTCCTTTCGGCGTGTAAGCATTACGCATTATAAATATTTCAAGGAACGCTGTTTCACGGTTTAGGTAAAATTCATAAAACATTTCTTTTCTCAAAAGTTATCTTTTCGCTGATGAATGATAGTTGTTTTTGGAATGCGTCATTTTGTATATTTTCTTATCATTGATTTGGCTGGATTGCATCGCAGCTAATTAGCTTCATTTTTGATCTTGCTTTCTAATCACGATCGAAGTAATTTTGACTGAGCAGAAGTTGAATTAGTTTTTTACTGTATAATGTTCATTATACTTCATTCTAAGAATTGGCCTTAGAGAAATTGACTTATTCACTGTTTCAACCGACATCGTTGCTTATGCGATAACATGTAGTGTTGAAACAATGGAAAGGAGAAAGTTTCTTACCTTCGGGATATGGAACTTTCATACCATTTCGTGAATGGCTCTGCTTAGGAGTATTGATGGCATGGTGCTGCAGTGCCTAAGACATATGCTTTCAACTCCTGATGAGCCAGCTTCGGTTCCGGTGGAGGATTATCTTTGTAATGTTCACGAGTTTCCTTAAGCGAGGAATTTATCACACATTGCTTTAGATTTCGCTTATTTAGTTGGTAGTGCATAGAGGCCAGAACAGAGAGGACCCTAGTTTGACCCCTATCGGAGTTGCTCGTCTTCCACATTACGCTGATAAATGAGTACCGCTCTTTGGGAAAGAAACAGGCATCTGTACGGTACGCTTGACATATGGCGGTAAACTTTGCCTCTAAGATAAGACACTCCTGGCATAGAAACGGAGAATAGCATCCAACCATCAAACTGCCAAAATGGTCCATTAATGAAAGTCACGAACCACCGGCATGAAACCGGTGACAAACTTCCCATTTTACTTTGACTTCATGCAACTTATCTCTTGTTCGATCAGCTAAGGCTGCGTTATTGCAATATCAGTGTCTAAATGACTTGCTAATAATAGGCCGTAGTCTCCTGTTGCTTTGTCTATAAAGTGTTTTTGACTTATCTGCCGCGGAGGATTGAAGCGCTAATATAATAATAATAGTTTCTGAAAAACCGTTCATGATCAGCGTTCATTGTTAGTGCGTGATAGTTAAGGGCAATATGATAGTCACTCAAGTGATCGATGGAGACCCCTCTTTCGGCTTATATTTTACGAGTGTTCTTCATTTTCCATCCCGCTTCTGCTTCCGGGCACCTAAGACAGACGCTTCAGACAGTGCTTTCAACGTTCCCGATCCTGTGCCACAGTCGGAGCTTCGGCAGAAGACGACCAGAGTTTGGAACAGACTCCTTCCGTATATTTGTACCGGTTAATCTTGGCCGATCCTGACTCTTCTTCCGGATCGTTCCGCAAGAAACAGTTGCTTTGCCTTCCTTTCTCCAAGCCTTCGCCACACATACCAAACCATCGCAGCTGTGACTTCTCAATCTGGAGAAGCAAAGGCTGTTCACCAAGGCTCTTCCATGTGCCTTTATTGCGGACCATCTCAAGACGCATACGGCCAGCGACTGGTCTAAGAAAGCCCATTTCAGCAGCTTGCACCCGAGTTCCAAGCTTTTCAGTCATGCTCTACGACTCATGACCGTAGATAAACATGCGGATAAAGATCGACTTAAACACCGAGAGCC